TTAACTACGGTACAAAGTTTACGATATTTCGTATTAGAAACATTAGGTTTAGAAACATAAGAAGTAGGTAACGGTGTTTCGTGTAGCGCAAGTTGAAAGCTAAAGTAACTCGTCAAATTAACGGAGAAAAAAATAAATTTTACAATATTTTTCAGAAAACTGCATTTCATGTAACCGGATTGTGTATTGCTGGTTCCAAGGGTTGTTAATATTTGATCTACTTGCTCTATAATACGACACCAGTTGCCTTTCCACGCTGTATTTTACACCACTATAACAATTCTAGCATTATTTTATAGACGCCGACAATGAAAATTAAATTAGATAAAAAAAATCCGCTTTTTTTTTTTTTTTCGCATAACGAATGCAGCAATTTACGTATTATCAATTTTTGTGTGTTGGCGAATCGAAAATTATTTTGGACCACGGTTTTATTTTTAAAATATGTATAAGGATTTTGTGTGCATTCAACTATATTACCTTTAAGTACCGCATATTTTTTCCTGTTCTCCAGATCAACGCCCAACCTTAAGACAAGTTATCCTGTCAGTAAACATCATATATTTTTCCTGTTCCCCAAATTACTACCCTAACTTTAGATAGGTTATGTTGTCAGCAATCATCACATATTTTTCCTGTTCCTTAAGTTAACACCCTGACTTAAGATAGGTTATCCTGTCAGTAAACATTATATATTTTTCCTGTTCTCTAATTCAACACCCTGACTTATGAAAGGTTATTCTATCAGTAAACATCATATATTTTTCCTGTTCCCCAAATTACTACCCTAACTTTAGATAGGTTACGTTGTCAGCAATCGTCACATATTTTTCCTGTTCCTTAAGTTAACACCCTGACTTAAGAAAGGTTATCCTGTCAGTAAACATCACATATTTTTCCCGTTTCCCAAATCAACACCCTGACTTAAGATGTTGTCAGCAATCATCATATATTTTTCCTGTTCCCCAGATCAACACCCAACCTTAAGATAGGTTACCCTGTCAGAAAATATCACATTTTTCCCTCTACCTCACATCAACACCGACTTAAGATAGGTTATCCTGTCAGTAAACATCATATGTTTTTCCTGTTCCCTAAGTCAACACCCTGACTTAAGATAGGTTATCCTGTCAGTAAACATCATATATTTTTCCTGTTCCCTAAGTCAACACCCTGACTTAAGATAGGTTATCCTGTCAGTAAACATCATATATTTTTCCTGTTCCCTAAGTCAACACCCTGACTTAAGATAGGTTATCCTGTCAATCATCACACATTTTTCCTCTAATGTTTACTTTGTAACAGGAACTCCTGTAAATAACATTTCTTTGGCAGTTACACAGTTATTTTCAGTAAATTTAATCTATAAAGCCGTGTTTGGTGAAAATGTTTCTGAAAATATTACTTTACCTCTAAAAATGCTTAACACAATGCATTGTTTCAATGACTATACCTTTTATTCTTAAATACATATTACAAGAAAAATTGCTCTCATCATGGAAAATTATTAAGTAAACATGGTTACATGATACAGTTATCTACACTTTATACCTGAAACAGGAAGGGTACAGTTTCTCAACAGATGGAAATAAAGTATTAATGGTTGGGTTCTAACCAGGAAATGTTTGGTATCTGGTGCAAAAAATAATGGTAGAGACTGAAATTTTAAGTTGTTTTTATCTGACCAGATTTTTTTTTAAAACAACTTTTTTTTTTTATCCAGTGCAGTGGACCCAACATAATCAAACATAAGAAGAGGTTTTTTGTATACCTTCCTCAATCCACAAAGATTGTTATACATTGGAAGTTAAACAAAGTAAAGAAGAAAAAAAAATAACCTTACAAATGATCAGTTTATAACAAAAAAACAATGATAATACATGGCTGCTATCTAATTTGAGAAAAGTTTACAATTCTAATAATACTGTTCTTGCTCAACTTTGAGCTTACTGAATATCACCAATAACAAACTAATCAAACTCTAGTTTGTATCTGTTCAATAATCTATTACAATAAGACATGCTCATACACAAGTATTTGAAGTGGTTAAAAAGTGGAATAACAACAACTATTGCCTCGCTCATTCCAAGTCGAAACAACTTTAACTCTTGAAATAAATTTACATTTACATATATAACTAGTTTTTGATGTAATTATTAGCATTTTTTTTTTACATTGGTTAATATACTTGTACATTAAAAGTCTGCTTGTTTCAGAAATTTCCCCAAAGCTACATAAGGTCTATCTGCACAAACCATCCCTAATTTTGAACTGATAATAGAGGGAAGGCAGCTAGTAAACAGCACCCACTGCAAACTCTTGGGCTACTCTAGTCAAGTAATGCAATTTGACTGTTACTCTTATAGTACACTCATGGCTCCAAAGTAATGAGTGCAGTTTCGTGGCAAAAGGATGCAAACCATGAATGCTCAGATTCACAGTCTAGCAAATTAACCATTAGGCCACACACACAATCACATTGAAAGAAACTAATAAATGTATGGTTAACTTTCAAAAGTCTTTAGCATTACTATAGTCTGTCCCAGTAACCTCCCAGTGTTTTCTTAAGTGATTAACATTGAACACAGGTCGTGCAAATTAAGTTAGAAACACTAAAAGTACATACATGATACAGTAAAATTACTAGAAAATGTACACTTTCAAAATAAAAGTCTTCTATCTGTAACCATACCTATAAAGCTGAGAAATCCCCTTACAACAACAACAAAAAAGTGATAAACATCATACCAGACACCATCATGCATTTGTTACAACCTAAAGGGGTCAACTGCAAATGCATAATTAACTCATAATAAGATCAGATTATTTTCACAAAATTTTTGATGGCAAAGAAAGGTAAATATTTTACATAACTTAATACTTAATACTACTGACGATTTTCAGAACTAAATGCTACTAATAAACACTAAAGATAATCTAAAAAAAATCAGTAAACTTTCACTTGAAGCAGAAAACAGTATCAGAAACAAACGTTCCACATACATATAAAAACTGTAGTTATAGTTTCCTCATTTGTTACATACACATCCTCAAAAAAAAAGGCATTTCTGAAATTTTCTAAAGTTGCAACAACTGTTTCTGTTTAGCTTCGTTAACGTATAATTCAAACATTTTCATGGCAGCAGATTTGAGAGTCATTTCAACCAATTAGTAGCCACTATGTTGCCACTGTTGACTCCTTAATATATAAAAACTTAACATAAATAGTCACAATCACAAGAATATAATATCAATATTGTATCCAAGACAACATGTAGTAAATGATAAAAATATTTATCTATGAATAGATAGGTATATCTTATTACAGAATTTAAGAGATGAAAACTTTCTAGAATAGATGTATCCAGATGAAGAGAATAAAATAATTATTTTGAACTCTTCACAAAAAGAAAATACCCTACAAGCAGTTTTTCTTTACACTTTTACTGTACCATCTTCTAAGTTTTCATTACAGAATAAAATAACTTTGGTTCTACCACTTTACAATGGACAAAATCAAAAGTTTACACAAAAATAGCAAAACGTTTCACACTAACAAAATTTACATTAGCTGTAGAAATTCATGAATTCTCACCTTATTTTTTTAGTAAACGCATACAGCAAATGGTCGAGAAAATTTTAAATGTACAAAATAAACATTTAACGTAAGTGTCAAAGTAACTGCTTGGGTTTTATGTAACCCAATTCAAACAAACATAAAGATACTTAAAGTTTCAAACAATACAACTGTTATAATTCAGATTGTAGACATTTAGAGTAAATATGAAACTTGCTTGATCCGATATATATATATAAACGATACAAGTCTTGCACTATCGTTTGAGAATTATCAAATATGTAAATAAGATTCACTTTCAAAATCTAATAAATCTATAAATACTACATAAATGAAATAATTTGTAAATTGCACAAAATTATGTTTTATGTTATATTATCTAGATTCTACTTTTAATGTCAGGAGAATTTAAATAGTTAAGAAAACTTGACTGATAGAGGATTTTTCTTTTCAATTTTAAATGAAAAATTTTGTTAAGTGTTGTGCTTTTGACTAGTGTTTTGTATGAATAAAAAAAACACACACACCCAAAATAGACACTTAACTCATTTAGAAAAGAAATGTACAACAACCAAACCATTATTTTACAGTCTCAGTATTTAATTTTGTGGCAAGTAATCTTTTTTTATAAAAGATTTTTGCCTATTCTGATAGAATATCAATACACACGCTTTAATATGATGTATTATTCATTCATAACTTCCTCAACATCAGTATTATAATCTGAAGTTTGAAAATTAAACAACAATCTATCTCCTAGTACGAAATGGACTAGAATAAATTAATAAAAACTAGACTGACTAACTTTTTATGAGTATGATTAGAAATACACTAATATGTACACATCTTACGATGAACTTGGATATTACACTTACAATTCCCTTGATACAGAAACTGACATAGTTTTATGTGGTTATTCTAATTTTTGTCCAAATGGGAGTGAATTTCATACAGACAATTATAAAATTAACATGTTAAAGAAGTGCTTTTAAAGTAACTACTTCATATCAACAAGAGAAAACTGGATTTGAAAATAGTGTTTGATGTGAAGTAGTTACTTTAAAAGATATCACAGTATGGTAAATAACAAGAGAAAGCTGGATCTGAAAATAGTGTTTGATGTAAAGTGGTTACTTTAAAATATATCACAGTATGGTAAATAACAAGAGAAAACTGGATTTGAAAATAGTGTTTGATGTGAAGTAGTTACTTTAAAAGATATCACAGTATGGCAAATAGCAAGAGAAAACTGGATTTGAAAATAGTGTTTGATGTGAAGTAGTTACTTTAAAAGATATCACAGTATGGCAAATAGCAAGAGAAAACTGGATTTGAAAATAGTGTTTGATGTGAAGTAGTTACTTTAAAATATATCACAGTATGGTAAATAACAAGAGAAAGCTGGATTTGAAAATAGTGTTTAATTTACCATACTGTGATATATTTTAAAGTAACCACTTTACATCAAACACTATTTTCAGATCCAGCTTTCTCTTGTTATTTACCATACTGTGATATCTTTGACAACACACCAATGAAAACTGAATGATGTATTTGAGGGAATTTGTAATCAGCACCGGTTCCAAATCAGTTCAACAGCATCATGCTCATAATGACAACAACAAAATTATGTTCAATGAATAAAAAAAAAAAAATGTAAGAATGAGAATCGTGGAAAAATGTTTCACGGAACTGTTCATAAATTTAAAGAACTTTTTCTGTTAAGTTAATAAGAGTAAAATTTATTAACCATTTTTGGTAGGACTACACCTATAATATATGCATTTAAAATAAAAATATATTCCCTAACAAGAAAAAGTAGGTACAATTTTCTAGAAAATGCCATGAAGAATATCAAAAACATATTTAGCAGTAAATCAGCTGTTACAGTTTCTCACGGTCCGGAACAAATGACTGAAATATGGTTTTCTACTCAGCAAAAAACAAACAAGACACACAGCATAAGTATTTATGCTATGAAGTAAAAAAAGTTACAAAATAAAAACTGTACACATTTTCAGTTTTCTTTTTAAATATATTCACAACATAAGAGCAGAAAATAAATATGACAGTACACAGAGTAAAAATAAAGATTAGTTGAAATAAATATATATTTTGAAATAAATGTTCTCCACATAATAACAACAAAATTAACAATTTATTCTTCTTCGTCTTAAAAATCTGGTTATACATAAGCTTGGAATATTTCCTCGCTGCACAAGTGCTGGTGTGTCGAGAACACAACACACGAAACAGACCTGCCTATTCATCCTTAACACACGATTGCTCCTATTACATAAGTGTTATTATAAAGTGTTTCAATTTGTATGGTCTAGTAAAAAAAAATCTTTACATAAAATTCCTTAATTCTTCAATAAAGCCATGCCTAACACTAATGCAATCAGCTTAATGTGCTCTTTCCTGGCACATTCTAGAAAAGTAGGTAATTCTTGGTTTGCAACTAGTTGGTCACTGATCTTAAGCCCATATCTGTAAAACACAAATAAAAGTCTTCAAGATAATATGTAGGAACAAAATATTTTACATTAAGTATTTTTAGTTAACAATAATACTTATATTAAAACATTAACTTACATGCATTATGTTATTAATGCTGAAATGAATTTCTTTCAATTATTCTTAATATATTTTTATTTGCTTGCTTTGTTTTACTAATTAAATTACAGAGTGGTACCTGTTATTCTATATGCATTCAAATTATGCAGTAACAACAAAAAAATTATACATATAACATTTAAATTGAATCATACCATTTTTTAGTTATTAATTGTTTGCTTTGTTTTGAATTTTGTGCCAAGCTGCACAAGGGCTATCTACGTTTTTTACTTATTAGGATTACTAATGTATGTGCATGTGTGCGATATACATACATATATAAATTTATATATATCAAAATGAGACACACTGTCCAAATTACTGTATTTAATAATCAAAATATTGCTTTTAAATATATACACAAGTACAAAAGAAGGTAAACTAAAGTATTTTCTAATTAATGTCTCAATGTTTAATTGTAGGGGAGGGGATATAGAAGCACATTATATATTCATGAATTTTTCAAACACATACACAACCTGTCACTATCATACTCACCCTGAGTGTAAAGTCCCAGCTACCTGTAGACAAGGCAGTGCCATCTGGTGACACCTTCAGGCAAGTCACCCTATTTTCATGTCCATAAAGGATTGTAAGCCTCACACATTTCAGTGTATCCCAGACATTAACAGTGTAGTCGTTGTAGCCAGCAAATAAAAACCTCCCTTCAATAAATGCAGAATATCAATTTACATGTACGTTAAAAAATATGTGATTTATTATATCTGAGTAATTGTTTTAATAAAATTTTCTTAGCTTTTTACGTGAGAAATCTAATCTTACAATGCAGTACCTATATAGAAAGTGTAATGGTAAATAGCAAAATACAGTATATAAAGTTTCTGTTTTTACAAACACACTTACCACTAATAGAGAAGTCTAGAGAATTAACACCAAAGATGATGCTTTGCTTGGAGTAAACAGCAACTTCCCTGTCAGCTCTCAAATCAAACAGTCGGCACTGTATCATAAATACGAACCTCTTAACTGTCTATAAGTAACACTGTTAGGGTTTTAAATGTAGGTCATTCAAATGTAGTTTTTATGACAAAGAAAAAAAAAGAAAAAGAAAAGGTCATATTACAGGATATATTTGTAATAAACATACACATACAAAAATGTTACTCCTAAGTTATCTGTACACAGCCAATTACTGGCTTTGACAAGCAATTTAGAAAACTAATATAATATTAGAAAAAGCTGACTATTCATAGTAATACATACACATCCGACTCACAAAAACTTTCCTTTTTGTTGGTAGTATCAGATTTACTTATCTAATGTATTTATGTACATGAAACAGCTTACAATATATTTTACACTTGCCTGATCATCAAATAAATGTGTGATGACATTTCAACAACACTCAAGTTGCTGTATGTCATTGTTGATGAGGCTTCTTGCTCAATGCCGAAGCTTATCAGAGTCATTGAGTCACAAGACACGAAGACTGATTTGAAATACTATTTATTAAATATACCTATTAGCCATAAAGAATGGTGTGACTTAAATAACCATTAGCCCTACTGTGACGTACCATCATAGATATTCTCCACTCACAGATCATGCTTCACATCATAAACTTTCTATACAATACGACTTTGGAGCTGGTTACACAGCTGTATTGATACATATTTGTCTATCTTGTTCTTTTAAATAATAACATATCTTTCTGGTTTGATCACTCCAAACCAGAACCAATTAACTTTCTTCCTACATATTGTACATATGGCATCATCTTACTATAATGGACATAGCATGAATATCAATATCTATGTATGTAACCAAAACTCCTGTACCATCTACTGAATGGCAGGCACCAGAAACAAAAATCTATAAAATAAATTCACACTTTGGGTATTCAAGATTCAGACAATTAGAAAAATAAGTATGGTATGTGCAACAACCATTTCTTTATAACACAATTTTAAATAAAAGTACTCTCCTCACAACAAGAACACGACTTTCACTTGGACTGAGGGTTTCATTATACTACTGAAAAACTGAAGTTCTAAAAAAAAAAATATTATTTTTTCAATAAAAAAGACCCACTTTTAATATATAAAAACATTACAATTTATATCAGCAAAATTAATGAAAATTTTGAGCTCTGTACATTGAATCATTGCGATGCAACGAGTTGCATATGACTAAAGAGCACAATCCGAACACTACTTCTGAGAAAAAAAATCCCTTTTAGAAAAATGTTCACTTTTCAAAATTTTTTTCAATCAGGTATGAATACTACGGTTAGTAATTACTGGCACAAACAGCGGCCTGTAGGGAGTCATTTCTGCTAGTTTTATACAATGTTTATTTTTGTCTTGAAAAATGTGATATTAACGACATATAAGTTTGGAACTTTGTGTCATCATAGAAAAAAGGTATTCCTCCCTTGAATCCCACTACAGTTTAACAGTTTTAAGTTTCATATATATATATATATGGCGAAATATCAAAACACTTCTTTTTTTATTGTGTATTGAAAAAAAATGTGGCAATGAAAAGAGTTAATTACTATCTCATCAGGGTGTGAAAAAAAAGAGTTCACCTTCCTGTCCTGAACAAGTAAAATTTGCCAAAGGACCAACGACAGTCAGTATGCACTCATCCCCATTTTAGGACTTACACTCCATTAAACTCTTTACAACAAATTTTCCATTAGCCTGTTAATCACCAATTTTGCCATTTCTGAAAAAAAATATAAATCTGCCAAAAAACTGAGAATTTATTTTTCATGAAAAAACATTTAAGAAATATTAAACCCGAAACAGACTTGCTATGAGGCTGGAGATACTGATCAATGAGATAGCATAAACCAATCACAGCTAAAGGTAACGTGATTCATCAAGTAGTTTACTAAAGTATTATTGAATTTTTACCTCTGCACCCTACTGCATTTGTTCTTCACTTTCTTTAAGTTGTGGTTTTGTCGACTGATGTCCGATTATCACTGGTTGGGCAAATGGTGGAAGTAAGGTTACATATGCTTGTCACAGTTTTGTCATTAAGAGTTCACAATTAGAACAAAAAAGTGAAAGCAAGGAAATGAAGACAGGAAACTGAATGTGAAATACAAGCCAATAACATTTCCATTTGAAATTACTGTATCTAAAAGGATACTTGATTATTTCTTCAAAAAGTTTGATAGTGGTGTCAGAGAGCAAAGAAAATTAAATGAACAATGAGATACTGCAAAGGGCACAAAAAGTTATCAAAACTGAAACTTTAATACCAAATGGGTAAAATATTCACGAGTCATTTATAATAAGCAGTAAGACCAAATGTTTTGTAAAGTTTGCCTAGAATATTATTATATATTGCCATTGTGGGAAACCCATTTTTCAAAAGTGTATGGGGGTTGTGTGGAATTTCAGGAAATATACAAGTGGGACCATGACCACAATCTATATTTTGTTGTATCTCTAAGAAGGATGTCAGTGACACTTAGTGAAACTGTCCATAAAGTGGTTCATTTTGAACATTTGAGGGATTCTATGAAATCCAAGAAAAGAACAGGGTGGACTAATGTGACAGGTATAGAAATGATAAGGCTTGCAGAAACTTATGTGAACTACACAGCTAATAGAGAGAAAATACTACAAATGAAGTGAAAAAAGGCAAGGTTTTTATGTACACATAATAGCTGATGGTAGTACTGATATGCATATTATAAGAATACGAAACAATTTTGACGTTAGATAAGTGGATCCATATTTAGGCAGAGCTAAAACTGAGTTTAATGATTTGTCCCCTTCAGTGATGCAACAGTATGATGTGTTAGCAGCTATTGATAAGGGTTCAGAAACACAGGAAGTTTTGAGGTCAAAATTGGTAAGTTATAACTCTGATGATGCTGGTGATATGACAGGGCAGAGGTCTACAAAAGTTTTTTGAGACAGTTACCCATCAACATATAATACACTGTGTGGGGCAATAACCTTGAACTGGGAGTTATAGATGCTGTCAAAACATTGGCCTAGCTGAAAAACGTTTGATGAAACAATTTAGGGTACTGGTATTCAAATACTATTATCATTCCAATAAAAAACTGACATATATGAAAATTATTTCTTAGCATATTTGAGGAAAACACAGCATTCTACAGTGGATATCAACATGTTTGATTGTCAAACAGACATGGAGCACTGGTGGCCTTAGAGATACACTGTACCGTTATAGTTATGTATCAGGATTTGTCACAGGAACTGAAGTGTGAAAGTTGGTGACTAAGGTTAGAGATTTCCTGAAGAAACTAAGTGAATGCTACCAGAGATGATGATTTTGTTTGTTTGTTGTTAAGCTATACAATAGACAGTCTGTGCTGTGCCTACCATGGGCTTAAAAACCCAGTTTTTCACATGATATGCTTTCAAACTTACCACTGAGCCACTAGGGACACAACCAGAAAAATGATTTATTTGTTACTGATGTTGTGAGGAAATTAAATCTTCCTTCATAGGAGTTTCCAGAGTTAAAATTAATTGGAGATGTTAAATAAAAGAAAACATTTAAGCAGAATTATAAAAATAAAATATTCATATGCGGGAAGGATTCTCGGCAGTCTATCAAAGTATACTGGTACAGACCCGACAGGCACTTTCAAAGATTTTCTGGATGAAATAATACAATACATTAGTTGCAGATTTTCACCACTCCAGGAACCTCCCTATGGTAATTTACAGATGTCATACCTTGTGGCCTGTGACAGCAGAGAAATTGAGGGTAAAGATGCAGTCTCAAGTTGTGGATCAGATATTCTGACTGTTGAAGAAGCTGCTAAGGCACCAACTAAGTAGCTTGGTTTGAAACTTTGGTTGAATAAGCAAAGGTCTACTAGTCCTTAAAAAACTTATGCTGGCCTGCTGGTGTTAAAAACCTGCTGATCTTCAACATATACTCATCATCATCATGTGCCATCTTCTTCGGTAAGATTGGCTGTCACAATCCTCCACTTCTGTCTGTTCTGTGCTTTTCTCACCGGGTTTTCATATTTTGCTATATCTGTCCACTATCTAATATTTGTTATCCACTCTATTCTTAGTCTTCCCTGTATCTTTTCCCTTCTATTTGACCCTCTAATAGGACTCGCTGGATGTTGTCTCGTCTCATCTTTTTGATGGTTGGTACAACATATCTTTTCACATTCACCATACTGGGAACTTCTTCAGTTGTTACCTTGTCTATCCAGGATCATCTTTCTCTACACCCACATCTCAAATGCTTCCAGTTTGTCAATCAATGCTTGTATCAAGGTCCATGTTTCACAGCCATATAACAGAGTTAACCATATATAGCACTTTATGATTCTCTTCCTTGTTTTTACTCTTATGCTCTTTGATGTCAGACTTGTTTTCATACTATTAAAGGCACCTCAATCCTCTTCACATCTTCCATCACCCGTTATGGTCTGGCCGAAGTAGGTGAATTTCTCTACTTGTTACCTTGTGATGGATTTATTATTCTATATTTATTTTAATATTGATGTTTGTTTAAATTTAATTTATATTTAGAAATGTACATAAATTATACTGTTAAATATGTATTGCAAAACTCCTGCCTATTCCCTAAAGTTGTAGAAGATTCTCGAGTGTAAGAATCAACAATGTATGTGTGTACGTACATGCTAATGTAGCTTTTTATTGTTATGTAATCTGAATTTGCAAAACTCTCCACGTGCCTATAAATATAACTAACACACCTCGCCAAAAAACAGTATCTATTATTGGTTTGCTATGTTTGGTGTGCCTTAAACTTTGGAATCTATAACTGTGATTGTTATAATGCTTATTAATCAGGAAACTTAAGATATTTGACCAGGAACGTTTATAAATTTCAAACATTACAAACCATTTAATTTCAGTGGATTCACATCGGACATTAGTACTTTTACAAAAACATTACCTAACATCATCGGTGGAAACTCGACCTGTAATCGGCATGTGACCGGTCAGAACTACAGGGCTAGCCAGCTCCCTATTAAATGCATTATACCTACATCAACTCGAAATTTACTCGCTCATCATGAACCCTCGATAAGATATCAAGGAAGTTCCAGACTAGAAAGAAGACTTTATATTGCTTGTAAGTTTGTAAAACTTTTGTATATAAATCATTGTTTGTAATAACTATTTGTAATAACTGTTATTGTAAATTGTATTATTGATTGTATATTAAAATATATTTGTATTAAAAAAAACTGTGTGTGTCAATGTTGTTGGCAAATATCATAAATTGGATATATTTAGAAATTTAAATACTAAATCCAAAGTACAAATTAACTCAGTTTCAGACCATTCAAAATTGTAATATGTAACAACCTACATTCAGGTCTCAAATTAAACAAGTTACTCTTCAGAACCTAACGAGAATTCAACAAGCGAAGATGTCCATCAGTAAATTCCAAGCAGATAGTATAATAAATACCTAGCTAACCTCAGCTAAGACATTTAGTCATGTGGAGAAAGGCAGCATTAGTATAGGAAGGACCATCATTGTCTGTCAGCCACTATCAATTCAAAACTTGAATTAGCTCAGTTGCTACATATCTTTATCAGTTACAGTGATTCACAATATGAAACTGATTAGAATGATTTAATTGTTTTATCAGCTTATCAATAATGAAAAAAGTAGGAATTATAGCAATATTGTTGTACCATTTTAACTAATCATAGCTGTTTTGTTTCAACAATTTTAAATTTAGCATAACAGTATTTTGTTAGGCTTATTGTACAGTGTTGCACACACTAAAAAATCAACATGGCAAAAAAATTAAAGAGACCTTTAAAATAAATCCAACCTAGAACATTGTTACGGACCTAATGAAATGATTGGTACCTACATGTCATTCATTCCTTTAGGAGTAGTGAATCTAAATTATTATTTTTTTTGCACCCTGCTTGCATTTGTTTAGAATTTGATTTCAATTTTTGAAGGATTTGACACTCCGTACTTAAAAAGTTAAAAATAAAAATCTGAACACAGAAACATTTACATATTACAAAAATCTAAATAATGTATTTTATATTCAGGGCTAAACTCTCAATCTGACAGTTTTGAATTTCAAGGTTTCCTCAAACAAAAAAGTACCAAATTTAATCCAATAACAAAGATGCATATAATTGTCTTTTTTAGTTCATTACTTCCAATCCTATGAATAATAAAATTGGGTTTGAGAATAATTCTAAATATAAATCAGTGGTCTATTTGACATTAACTCACAGTGAATCGTGCTTCTTTGTATCATAACTGAACTCTTAATAAACCTTTTTCCTATTGCCTAAACAGTCAAATCCCATCTCCAAACTTAAATGATGTTAAACATTGAAATCTAGTACAACTAGTTATATTTCTAAACTACAGATAAAGTATGGATTTATCTCAATTAAAGCTGAAAAAAAAAGAACATTCTGATGTAACAGTGATTTAAATGGTCTCCCAATCTCGTTTACTCTTTCACGATTATACTTTGCAACCTTAAATAATGTTACCTCTGTTTTTTAAATATATTTATTAGCTCAGATCCTACTTAATTAAAGAATATTGACAAACAAAACCAATTATTTTACATACAGTGGCATCATCTGATCCTGTGGCTATGGCATCTCCACTTGGATAAAACTTCACTGTGTTAATATCTGATTCATGACCTTCAAAAGACTGTACACACTGACCAGTTCTCATGTCCCATACAAGAGCCTGCCGATCACAACCCTAGTGATAAAGAAAAACAAAAAACGTACATTTTTAGCCATCACAAGCCTTAAGATAGAAAAGCAAGGACTTAACTATTACAAACCTCATAAAAAAAAGCAAGTACATTTTTTAATCATCATAACCCTTGTGCAATAAAAGCAAGTACTAAACATTACAACCTTTGTGTGAAAAAAAAAGCAAATACATTTTCTACCATCACAATCCTTAAGAAAAAAAGCAAGTATGTTTAAAGTAAATCAGCTTTGCAATTTTTATTAAGATATGATACTTTGGAAGGAATGTTATATGACACATTTAAACTTCAAATAATAAACATGATACATAAAACAAAATGTCATTAACTTCTGATCAGAACAAACTACCTATACAGCTTATATATACAGGGTGTCCCAAAAAAATGTATACACACTTTGAATGATTATAAATACAATGTTTATTAAGATATATCTAAGTTTTTTAATTCAAGTTAAAGAAGACAAGTGTAGAATATTTTAGAGCCCATAACTCACTTAAACCTTTTTTCTTTACAGGTGCAACTGATTTGAAGTAATGGCAGAAGCAAGACTAAGCTTTGAGAAAAGGAAATTTATCCTAAAGTGTTACTGGAAGTGCGAGAATGTTTTTTTATTGGGATACCTCAAAGATTAGGTTTATAGCACAAAAACCTGCAACAATCAATGAGGTGAAAGCAGCAATTGAAAGAGAATGTGCCAAAATACCAAGTGAAATGATTCGTGGTGTTTGCTATTCTATCTGTCATCGTTATCAGCAGTGCCTGGACCAGAACGGTCATCAGTT